GCCACTGATGGATTCTGCTGAGTCCAGCTACAATTGCTAAAGCTGCTTCCCTCAGATGCCTGCTCTCCGCACAGTCAGAAGCTACCAACACGCTTGGAAACTGCAGGAAGGATCAGGTGCCTGTGCTTGGACCCTGCCAAAAGACAGTCCAGCATCTGATCATGAATCTGCAGCTGCCAGCTGAGATGCTGCACTTTGCACTGAAGCACAGGACTACGCTCCCTACTGCCAACTTTGCCATGGGGCCGTAGCTGCCAGCAATCGCCCACAGCCAGAGTGGCCAGCAGCTCCCTGCCAGCACGCACACGTGTTACACATCTACCCACCACTGCCATGCAGGATCTTTCTTTCAGAGAGCAGTAACAGTCCAAAAAAAAAAAAATTCAAAGAGTTACACATCACTTTTGATTTTAAAGTAGACAGAAAAGTTAAAAACGGGGGAAAAACTTGCAAAAATGTCACAGAAGGATTTCTGCTGCCACTCAAGTTGCGCAGCACGCTCGACTGGAGAGACTTATTGCTATGCAAGCAACTTGGCGTGAAATCCCACCGAAAGGCCTGTGGTTCCATAACGCTGTCATGACATCATGATTTAGGAGTTTTAGAGAGATCAGCTCAGCACAGCTGGTGTCATGGTTGCCATTATACCATGAAACACTGAGTGTTTTTAAATTAAAAAGGTTTCCCCATTTGAAATTCTTACATTTCTTCTATGTTATTCTGTAGACTCTTAAAAATAGACCTGTTTTGTAAGAAGAGCATAGCTGATATTTAAGCAGAGCAGGAAATAGTGCTGTTTTAACTGAGAATAAATCTGTCAACAAGGAGGCACAGGGAGAGCTCCACTTCAGATTTTTCAGGTTCTTATTAAAAATATAAATTAAAATCAACTTTTTCACATTACTTGCTACATCTGTTTGCTATTCCATTATAAATAAAAATATAGGGGCCTCCTATTCAGCTTTGGTTCACTCAAAAAAACTCAAAAAGTCCTTTTCATTTCCTACGGCATTATAATTGGTCTAAATTGTACCGTAGCACCAGAAGAGGTCTACGAGAGATAAGTTATGCATTACTCAAAGTCAAGTAGGGAGATTTCAAAGGCCTTTGGCAGTATACTACCTTTCCCCTTCTAAAGGATGAAAGCTGGCAGGGTTATGGAAACATATCCCTATTGTAGGAACCCTGCCGACTGTTACAAGCAGGTCCAGCTCTGCACTCTTTGTAGTCCGCACACTTGCAGTGTTTTCTGGAGGAAAAAAAAGAAGAAAAAAACCCTATCTACAGATGCTAGTTCAGTGTGATACCAGCTTTAAAGGAAATCTTCCAAAGATTTAGACAACTCCACCGTCAGCCTGTGCTCCTGCCAACCATCCCATGGCATGTGTTATCTGTGACAGCAGAATTCCAAGGTCCTTCAAGAGACACAGAGATTGATACCTAATTCTCTTAAGCAAGGGCTTTATTAAGTTGCCTCCCAGAGCTTCTTGAATGCACAGAATAATCACTACACTCATGCAGTGTGTGGGCAGTGCCAATCTAGTGATGTGCCGTTCATGCAGACAGTCATATTTCAATAGCATTTAGCAAACAGTGACTGCCACTGGGAACAAGAAGCGTTGGTGGGTGCTGAGCTCCTTTTAAATCTCTCCTCTGCCTGTCTCCAGTGCTCACATACCAGCTAATAATTTCAGGTTCAATGTTTTAGGAGATGTGTAAGCTTTGACAGCCTTACCACACGCATAAGTGTATATTAAGACTATTCGCAAAAGGGACAGAGCCAGCTCCAGTCTTCTCAACAGCATATGTAATACTGAATTCTGTAGCCCCAAGGATAAAGCTAAAATAAAGACAATGCAGGGCACAGACAGCTGAGCTTTGCAGGGCGAGTGACACACGGACTCCCTGCTCTGGAGCCCAGGAACAATGTTCCAGCCCATACAGAGAGAACGGACATACTTACACAGGCATGGGGCACAGAAATCACTTTGACAGATCTGAACTGTCCTGCATTCAACAGGTTTCTGCCAAGGTCTGCAAAGAAACACAGCACCTCGGGCTCACTTTTCACATGCAGTGTCCAGCTGTGGCAGCTGAAGGCAGGTTACCGCTGCGGCACAGCGCTCCCGGCAGCCAAGGCGGGCTTGCTTGCTGAGCCCCGGTGCTCCCCTCCCAGGCTCAGGTACGAGCAGGGTGCTCAGGGCCTTCTAGACCTCCCAGAGTCTGGAGAGGACTTTGCCACTCCTTCCTTACTCAAGTCTAGGAAGCTGCCTATGTCTAGAGGGTTTTTTTTTTCTTTTTTTTCTTTTTTTTTTTTTTTTAAGTTCCTGTGAATTGTAACCAGCAAATGGTTTCTCATTCCGAATTTCCAGACTGAAGCATTTGACAGTATGAAGACATAGAAGTTCTCATCCCAGGAAGATTTTAGAAATTGTGATATTCCACCCATGTGATATTTTCACCCCCTTCTCCCCACAGCTTTCCACTACACAATAAGAGCAGTATTTGGTGAGAGAAGCCTGAGTCTGAGAAGCCAGTGTGTGTGCTACAATCAGAGAGGCAAGGAGGTTATATCCTTATCTAATTTGCTTCTTCTGATGACACTAAACTGGGAGGAGTGGCTGACACACCAGAAAGTTGTGCTGCCATTCAGAGGGACCTGGACAGGCTGGAGAGCTGGGCCGAGAGGAACCTCCTGAAGTTCAACAAAGGCAAGTGCAGGGTCCTGCACCTAGGCAGGAATAACCTCATGCACTAGGACAGGCTGGGGGTTGACCCGCTGGAAAGGAGCTCTGCCGAGAAGGACCTGGGAGTGCTGGTGGACAACAAGTTAAACATGAGCCAGCAGTGTGCCCTTGTGGCCAAGAAGGCCAATGGTCTCCTGGGGTGCATTAGGCAGAGGGTTGCCAGCAGGTCGAGGGAGGTGATCCTGCCCCTCTCCTCAGCCCTGGTGAGGCCTCTCACCTGGAGTGCTGTGTCCAGTTCTGGGCTCCCCAGTACAAGAGAGACATGGCACTCCTGGAGAGAGTCCAGCGGAGGGCTACAAAGATGATGAGGGGACTGGAGCATCTCTGCTATGAAGAAAGACTGCAAGAGCTGGGCCTGTTCAGCCTGGAGAAGAGGAGACTGAGAGGCGATCTCATCAACGTGTATAAGTACCTGAAGGGAGAGTGTCAAGAGGATGAGGCCAGTCTCTTCTCCGTGGTGCCCAGCAACAGGACAAGAGGCAATGGGCAGAAACTGAAGCACAGGAAGTTCCACCTAAACCTGAGAAAAAACTTCTTCACTGTGAGGGTGACAGAGCATTGGAACAGGTTGCCCAGAGAGGTAGTGGAGTCTCCTTCCCTGGAGATATTCCAAACCCGTCTGGATGCGATCCTGGGCAATATGCTCTAGAGGACCCTGCCTGAGCAGGGAGGTTGGACTAGATGATCTCCAGAGGTCCCTTCCAACCTAAACGATTCTGTGATTCATTCATAAAAATACATTAAGCCATCCCTCACCCTTGATGTCTTCAGGAGAGACCCCCATGTCCACTCCTTAGTCTTTCCCAAAACCATCAGGCAAGAGTCTGAGCAAAGAGAATAGCCTCACCCAGAGTCAGTCAATCTCAGGCTGATAAGCCACCAAAAAGAAGTCAGTACAATGCTTTCTCCCCCCACCCCAAATCCACTTCCAGCAAAATGAAGCAAACATAGATCAACTAATCTCGGCAATCTCAGATTCTTAGTGGCAAAGATGAAAGCTCCTGACGAGAAAAGAAGGCATCAAGGCATCATATGTGAAGACCTGCATATCCAGGATGGTGTCCTGTGGAAATGCGGGAAGGAAGCCTTTAACTTAATTTCCCATTATTTTCTTTCTCTTGCCCTACCTTGCCTCTGCCCCAGCGATTAGTGAATAGGGTTTTTTGGTCAAACCCTCCATGCAGCTCTCAGCAACACCAGTGTTCTGTACAGACTCCCCTCTTAAAAGAGGCTAGTCTTCTGAAAAACAGTGCTGTACCTACAAACAGGAGCTGCCTTGAGGACACAGATAAAGTTAAAGAGGCTGCTTGACCACTGTTGTTGCAAGAGAAGCACCTGGATAAAAAACTGCTGGCTGAAACTTAACCAAGGCCAACAAAAGAAGGAGAGCTTGAATGAATGAATCAGGGCCTTTGCTGCACCATTCATCAAGGTTATTTATTCTTCAGCCATGAAACAGTGCAAGACAATTTCACTAAACGAAGAGCTAAGGAACAGCAACACTGGAAATCTTTTTCAATTTCTAACTAGTTAGAAGGCTGTGTTCACAGCCCCAAGATCATAACAGCTTGGCTAATGCAGCTCACTTTACCTAAAGTTAAGGAGTAAGGTAGGAAAAGACAGGCAAGAATAAGATCAGACCATACAGCTTGCCTGATCTGATACAAAACACCTGCTAAAGACTGTCCATACTAACAAGCTAAGATAATTGCTCAATTATTGGAGAGACCAGAGGCAAACAATTATCATCTTATGCTTCTGTACTATAGACTGGCATCTTATACAACAGCCCCTGGGATGGCAGTCCACTCACTGACACTAATACTGCTGTGCCAGCAACAGGAAAAATGCCCTTACAGCAGTTTTCCAAAGAAAGGCATTAACATGCACAAGGTGGGGTCAGGATTTAAGCAATGACCATAACAGACTAACAAGAGGGGGAGGGAGGTGGGGGGGGGGGACACACATTCAGGAAGGAAAGGGAAAAATAACCTTTCCTAACAACTTTTATACTAACAAGGAAATACATTGCATTCAAAGTAGGTTAGGCCCTAATTCTGAAGAGGAGAACATAGTAATTCTTCTACATGCAAGAAGTAGCACATGCCACCCCTTAGCAAGACCAGGACTACAGTATTCACAGCAGAAGAAACAGCTGTTCAAATAACTAGAACAACAGGACAGGGTTGCACCTAACTCCCCAAATGCAATACAAAACAGAATACACACCAACAGAACTCTTAAGAGACTTACTCATGTACTCTGTTGTCTCCGTATAAGTCACTTAACCCAAAGCTGACATAGTGCCAGTGCTCAGGAACATTCAACGCGGGGTTTCCCAGGTTCCTGTACATGCTAACGTAGTCCAGAGGATCAGGTCCCCCCAGCCTGCATTAAAAGAAAAAGAAAGTTTTAGGCAAATTAGATTATTTGAGACAAATAACAAATACCCACAGATGCTACACTGGGCTGTACAAAGACCTGCTCTAAGTCATAGCTAGTGACAAAAATGAAATTAGCATGGTCAAGTTATCTTTTAAAAAAAAAAAAAAAAAAAAAATGAAGAGAAAGGTTGGGTTAAGTCCAGAGAGCTTCAAGGACAGGAAGGCAAAGTGCATATGTGCAACATACTGAAATGTTTTTAATGTTAAAGCATGAAAACCTCTGGAAAATCATATTAAAGTTTCCACAAAACAAAGAAAATTGGAAAATTATACTAGTAAAGAGTGATAGCTGTTTGCACTGCAAATTTAATTCAGGCCAGAAGCGTATACCTCAACTCAACAAAAACAACCCTGCTATTCCTTAAAGCAAAATTTGAAGTGGCTAAGTTTTGAGGAGAGTAATCCATACTTCTAAATATAAGTTAAAATAACGGAGGAGAAAGTACCAATTCAGAAAAAGTTAGTACCAGAACTTGCAAAATACACTGGCTGCATTAATCAAGAATGAGTAAAAAGCATAATTGCCATCTCTGCTTTAACATTAGAATTGGCTACACAAAAGAATATTACTTAAAAGTCAATGCAGCACAGCCAGTGGACTACATTAAATCACCCAAATTGTCAGAAACTCTTCTATTACAAGACAAAAGGAAATTTGGTTGCTGCGCTAACAGAGTCAGTGCGCGTACACTCGTTCTGCAGCTTGCAATCACGTCTGGCTGTGCAGAGGCAGGTAAACCACCCACTGAATGAAGGAACGTGCTAGACTGTTTTGCTTGCTGTTTGCCCTGTCAATCATAAAATAAACAGGATAGAAACAAGCAAGAAGAGACAAGACATCAAACCGCGTACCACAAGTGTTTATGAATAGTGTGAGCAGCTGTTTAACTGTTTCCTGTCTCCAACTCATTTTTTCAATCAAGTAAAATACTTCCAACTGCTCAAAACAGGAGGATCCAAACTAGGATGACTCCTTCCACTCAAACCACTTATTATACATTAACTCCCCTCATACGCATCATGCGTTTAGACCCTGGTCCTATCATTTGCAGGTTTCAGGGCATGCCTACGCTTCCCTCACTAGCCCTGGGGCTTCGCATATCATCATTACATGCTCCACAACCGCTACATGAAAAGCATTTAAGTTTTGCTCCATGATTAAAGTACCATTGCCTTTTATCAAACAGTGGCAGGTTTGGGAAGAAACACTTTTTCAGAGTTCAGCCTGCGAGCCAGGCTGTCTGTAGTGCACTCAGCTACTGCTCTGCTCCATGCCTCCTAGGAGCACTCGTGCTCCGCATTTGGATTCAGATCTTGCCTTAGCAAGGAAGCTCTGGGGTGATCAAACAGCAAAAGCCTAGACACTATCCCTCTCCAAGACAGTACCCTTCTCAAAGTCCCATCCAGCAACAGAGAGGAGACCCTGACAAGCGTTTCAGTCCTCTGTCTGTAACCAGGCTGCTGGTAGTACAGCTAGAGTTACACCTACCAGCTTCAGAAAACAGGTAATCAACGCAGAACGGATTTAACCCTTACCTTGCACAGTTATTCCTAGATCAGATTCACTGAGCACAGCAATTCCTTGAGGCTCATTTAGAGACCCTCGAGACTACAGGAGTGCTTCAGAGCTATGACAGTTACCACTGCAGAACATAAGCATTAAAGCTGCTCTTCTGATTCCGCACAGGCCTCATCAGAGCTGCAGCATCTGACCACCTTCATCTCCATCACCAGGTTTCCTATTGTTTCCAAAAGGCACTTAGAAACTCTCGAGGAGTTTCCTAGTGATAGTGTTACACTATCCAAAATCCTCTGCCCAACTTTGAAGTTTCTTACTCAGCAAAAGAAAGAAAGTCTTCATCTGTCTCATGAATAGCTGCAGAACCACCATGGACTTTCGTATTTGGGAAGCTGAACAAGGAAGGAGATCCTGATGAGGATTTTCCCACAATTAGGGCAGCTATTTTCTGTGCAGCACCTCTAGAGGGGCAAGCGGAAAAACGCACAAGCTGAGCACAGTGCCTTCCTACCTATAGCCTAAGGAGACCAACAGAGCAACGAGCATATTTAGGGTACATACCAGCAGGAAAAAAACACATTAGAATTGGATGAGTATTTAACCTAGAAGGATCTAAAAGCTGCCCATATGGTGCAAGACAGACAGCTTCCAATGACATGATCGATGCATTGCTTTTACAACATCACCAAGCTCCTCAGATATCAAGAGGGGTACTTCACAAGAGAAGGGAAGATGAAAGCACAGAACAACAAACACAAAGAAATTCCCAACCGTTTTTAAAGATATACAAAGTAATATACCAGCTTGTTGTAGTAAAAGGCTTTTATGAAACAATGACAGTGAATCAGCTGGAAAGGCCTGCGGGCTCTCTCAGTGAGTGCACTGCCAACCTCTTATTACTGCAGAGGGAGAAAGAAAAAAAAAAAAGAGTAGGGTTATTTAAGACGTGTGACTTTCCTTAAAGTAGTTTCCCTCCTCTAAGCCACATAAGGCCATTGCAGGGACTCTATGCCAGCTCTAGCTCCCCAGCTGGTCAGTCAAGGATGCAGCCCAGGATACCACAGCAAGAGAGAAGACGTGAGCCTCCCACTGCGAGCAACTAGACAGAGTTCAACTAGGCAAGGGCTAAGCCATAATTATGCAGCCTTTAGGTTCTCATATAACAGGAGCACTTTTACTGTGTAAAAGGTAAACTGGAAAGCAAGCATGGGGTATGCATGTTAGGCCCTGGGATGGAGGAAAGTTCAGTCCTCAATGGCAACCTGTAAAAACCCATTCTCCTAAGTCTTGTGGTATCTTGAAGCACTTAGGGGGGGAAGAAAAAAGAAAACTAGTCCCATCTGACATTCCCCATCTCCACCTGTACTTCACTTTCCCTCCTACCATCACCAGGTTGCATTGGAGGCGGTCTGAGGTCTCTGTAGTAAACATTCGGCCAGGTGGTTATGTTCAGAGTAGTGGCACTGACCCTCTGGCCAACTCTCAAACTCCACATGGCAATAACTTCTAGCACAGTAATGGGGACGCAGCCAGATGGAAGTGATCATAGCCAGAATGCAGTCACACTCCTCCTAGGAGCAGCCAAGCACAGGGTCTGTGTACAGTTGCCCTATACTTTGCATGCATGCAGAGCACCTTCGCTCCCAGAAGCACTGAGGGTGTCCAGGCCATCTCCCTAGCTCGGTATTTGCTAAGAAACCCACGTGGAAAGCTGCAACAGTTTATTTTCCCCCGTCTATCGCTTTAGAGCTCCATTTTGTGCAGGACAGAAGTGCAAGGCCGTTCTCCTGAGGAAAAGGAGTGACACAGACACATGAATTCCTCGTGAACGGCAACAGTCATGCACAATTATGCAAAGTTACCTGATTGGGAAGACTCCAGAGCAAGAGAGGTCAATATAATGACCAGCAAAACAGTGTGGGAGGTTAGCTAGTGGCTGGAGCAGATGAATAGGATTTGCAGTGAGGGGAAAACACCTCCACCTGCTACACAACAAGTTTCTCCTGCGTGCATAAAACCTGCTCCCAAAATGGGTTTAATAACACCCTAGACACCAGATGATTCACACTGGAACATTGTTTGCTGACACAAGGCATTTTGACACTCTGACAACACACAAAACAAATAAACCTT